GGCAAAAATTGAACAATTGCTTTCACAAAGTGACTGCTAAAACACTGCAAGGGTCAGAAGTATGTTGCCTTTCTCTTCAGAGTTTGACCACTCATGCTCTCCATCTTTTCCCAAGCAGTCAAATTTTAAAGGGAAAAATCGCATCCAACCCAATAGTCCTTGACCATCTGAGAAACAATTGTGCTGAATGCTCTGGCTATGCTGTATTTTAGGGATTGATCCATCTTCTCAATCAAAATCCAGGATCAGATCAAATTCTGCAGCTCATAAGGTGAGCAGTGACCTTATTACCAGCCAATTCAATTTTGGGGCAAATTTGAAGTTAAGGTTGAATTTCAGACCTCTGTAAGGGTATGCCTACACAGCACACTTATTTTGGAATAAGCTATTCTGAAAGATACCTTCCGGAATAGCTTATTTTGAAATTGAGCATCCTCACTACAGGGAAGCCTCAAAATTAGTCTGAGGCAGGCTCCTCTAGTGTTGATTTAGAGTCCCAGAAAACACTGAGGAGAAATTACCTAGAATGGCCTTGGGGAGAAGCTATTTCAAAATAGCAGCAGTGGAGCACCCACACTGCAGCTATTTCAAAATAGCTATTTTGGAAGAGGAATTATTCTTCGTGGCATGAGGTTTACAGAAGTCAGAATAAGCTGTCCTTTATTTCTATATTATTTTGAAATAACGGAATTCCTGTGTAGACGCTCGCATTGTTATTTCAGAATAGTGCTAGTTTTTCCGAAATAACAGTGCAGTGTAGATGCACCCTAAAGGTAGGAAATTGTGTCTGGTTTTTTTAGTTCAACCCCTTATATAGTGAAGAAGTTAAAATCCCTGGCTGTGTCTAGACTGGTAAGTTTTTCTGCAAAAGCAGCCATTTTACTGGAAAAACTTGCCAGCTGTCTACACTGGCCGCTTGAATTTCCGCAAAAGCACTGACGATCTCATGTAAGATTGTCAGTGCTTTTGCGGAAATACTATGCTGCTCCTGTTCGGGCAAAAGTCTTTTTCCAAGAAACGTTTGCGCAAAAGGGCCAGTGTAGACAGCTCAGGTTTGTTTTCCGCAAAAAAGCCCCAATCGCGAAAATGGCGATCGGGGCTTTTTTGCGGAAAAGCACATCTAGATTGGCCACGGACGCTTTTCCGCCAAAAGTGCTTTTGCGGAAAAGCATCCTGCCAATCTAGACGCGCTTTTCCGAAAATGCTTTTAACGGAAAACTTTTCCGTTAAAAGCATTTCCGGAAAATCATGCCAGTGTAGACGTAGCCCCTATGTTTAGTGTTGGAGTTTTGGTTCAGAGTCATCTCTACTTTTTCAGTTTACCCTTCACAGAAGCAGCTGAATTGGGAATATTGTATAATAAGTCCCAATTTAGCTCTTTAAGTAGAAGATAAATTTAAAAGCAGACCAATTGCCTGAGGCTATTAAGTACATCAGCCAAGTGGGAGACAGGAGAGAGGGAAGGACTCTGGCTTTTGGCTGATTTTGCTATATAAAAAGCCTATAGTAGCGAAAATGAAGATGTCTAGAAATAAAGGAGGAGGAAATTATTTTTAGTTTCTTTCCTGTGCATCCCTTTTTTCCTCTGTCCCATTTCTATAATGAGTGCAGGGATAATAATCTACAAAGAGCAGTTATGCAAATAAAATGATGGTGCTGTCTCATCCATATTTCATTGGGGATTTTAATTTCCTGTTTAATTGTAATTTTCTGGGTTTGTTTTGTTTTTCATATTTGGTAATTCGGGTTGCTTTTAGTCTGAATGGAGAAGATATACTCTGTATCGGGGGGGGGGGGGCTGTTCCAACAATTGGGGTTTATCTTAACTGTCACTGGAGTGGGATTCAGAAAACCCAAGCTCTAGTCTCAGCTCTTCTACTAGCCTGATGTTTATCCTTGGGTAAAACACTTCATCTCCTTTTGCCTCAGTTCCTCCTGCTATCAAATAGCAATTATAGTTACTTATCTCCGCTGTTGAATTGTATGAGCTCTCCAGATGAAGAATACTATATAAAAGTTAAGCATTAGTATTATAATTGGGATATTCTCAGTTTTAGTTATATTTTTGTTTGGGCATGTATACATTTTTAAAATCATTATCAGAGAGGAAACATGGTCGTGTGATTCGTCACTAGTCTAGGACTTGGAAAACCTGGATTCAGTTTCTTGCTATGCCACAAGTTTTTTGTGTGACATTGGCCAAGTCACTTAGGCCTTCTGTGCCTCAGTTTCCTAGCTGTAAAATGGGGATAACATTTTCCTATCTCATGAGGGCATTGTAAGGAAAATACATTAAATATGAGAGGTGCCTTGAAATCTATGGTCAAAAAGCACTGTAAGAGAAAAATAGCCTTTTATTTATTTTCTATGTCATCTTCTCTTATTATCGCAATAATAATTATAATCCATTAGGATCTGACATCACTAATTTTTTCCATTGCCCAATCAGTGCAGTTCAACAGGAGCTGAGACAAAAAAATCAGTGTAAAAATGTATTATAGACTATTTTAAAAAAAAAAATCTGCTACTCTTTGCAGAATTTTTTAAATGTCATGGCATGGCACATCATCTCTGTGAGAGCAAAGGAGAAATGAGAGAGACATGCTAAATAATGAAATACTAATGGAGTGGTTACCAAGCAATGATAATCTTCTGACCTCTGTCAAAACTACTTCTCCCAGTGATGTACTGTTGTGTCGGTGATCAGATAGCATGGCTAATAAATTTAAGGTCTATGGAATCTCTCTCTGAATTTGCTGAAATAGATAATGTTCTGAATGATATGCTGTACAGTGTAGATTTTCAACACTCTATGTGTGGAATTGGGTATACGTCTCCTGTTGTCATTCTGAATTAATTGTGATTGCTAAAAATGTGTTGTGATGTATACCATAAACACAGATTATACTGAATAACATGATGGTACCTTAGTGGGTGCAAGTCAGTGAAATTAAAAAGCAGCAAAAACTGGGCCTGATTCTCTTCTTATTTATTCTGGTTTTACATCAATATAACTCCAATTGACTTCAGTGGAAAGATGCATAATTTTCATAGCAGGGAGAGGAGAGGAGAACTGTGACCACTAAGTTTACTGAAAACAATATTTAAAAATATGGCTTGGCAATGTGATTTGGTTTTAGCAGGGAACCAAAAAAAAAGTATCATTTTTCTGAAATATTAACAATGAATTTGTGCATCGTCAATGCAACTAAAAACTGATAAAAGTGTGGTCAATGTGAACTGAATATATTCTCGGCCTTATATAGGCCAACAGCAAACTACTAATCTCCCTCCTCCACAGGACAAAGGGAAAACTGGGGGAGGGGAATTGTGTCTCAGAGTTTGCCTACTCAAGAATATTTGACTGTGAGGTGCCAGATATTACAAACATTTGTAGCCCAGAACAAATATTTGTGGTATATCTAGATTAGCTTTAACAAATGTGTTAATTGCCTCAAGCAAATTTACAATTAGTTCTTGGTACAAAGCTCCAGTGAAGACCAGGCCTTCAGGGAGATATTCATATATGGAGGAATTTTTTTGCCTGTGACTTCCATGTCTTTGGGCTGATTCTTTTTGGCTGGTTTTCTATTGCCAGCTCTAGCCCCTGGCCAGGGCTCCACAGCAACTCTGGTATCAAGAGATTTTCGATTAAGTTCCAGTCAAGCCTTTGTCCACCCACAGGGCTATACTCACCTTTTAGATAATTCTTAGGCCTTGTCCTCACTGGCAATTGAGCAATAAAGTTCTTGTCTGTCACAGGTTCTGTCAAAGCTCCTTCCTTTTCCTTCCCTATAATTGAGATTCTGGCCACTTTGCATATAAGGGCACAAGTTCTGCCACCTCTGCAAGCACTGTAATTCAAGCAGAAGACAGTGTAGACCTTCAGTTAATTTTCCCTTTAAACAGATAGGCCCCAGCTTTGTAAGGTACGTAAGCTCATGGTTATTCTCATTAAGTTCAGGTGGATTACTCACATGCTCCAAGTTAGACACATATTTAAGTACCATAGTATCACAGGACAGACTGTTATAGATAACCATTAACCTAGGTGAGCACCAGTGTTCCCTGTAATGGTACACTTGGGCTGCAGCTCAGGAGAGATTCAAGTGCCACCCAGCTGATTAGCCGAGCACTCACAATTAGGTTGTTTGTTTCTATGTGGGGTGCACTTTGGTACATGCCTCAGTGCCCATAAAAACTTATTCCGTACGTGGATGGAAAACATTAGGGAGAACATTGGTGAGCACCATGTATATTCTAACAATTTGGAACTGCCTTTTGATACAATCAAGCCAAGTTATAGCCACATTTTTACTAGTTTAAAAACCTGATTGTAACTCATTTTACCTGCATTCAGAGAGATCCAATTCATTTTTATTACAATGGTAGTGCTCAGCTGTGTTAAATAACAAACCTTTGCCATGACCAGCTTAGTTGTATAGATGAATACGGGGCATCTGTGATGAAAGAAATAGAATTAAAGGAGAAAAAGAAATGATTGTCCTGAGCTCTAAAGTTCTGCCTGACCTTGAGCAAAGAGATCACAATGAGCCCAAAAATACTGTGCAACACAGAAATGATTTAAAATACTCTTAAAAGAAACAGCTGTAGCAGGATGAGAAGACAACAGATAATTGACACCAGATGTCCCTCTCAGACAGTGATGAAAGAGTAATTACAGAGAGAAAGAGAGAGACAGCATCCAGCAGAGAGCAGATGAGCTTTACAGCATCTTTACAAGAATACATAGAGACAAACACGACAAGCGTCGCCACCTCTTATGACATAAAAAAAGGAAGTGAAGAGGAAATCTTCCCTTATGCATTCAGAGAGAGATGCAGAAAGCCATGAAGATCTGATGAAGAAAAACACCTGTGACAGATGGTATCACTGGTGATATCATAAGAGTTGGAAGAAACCCAATGACATACAGCCAGTGAAACTAATCAGTGTAAACTACACAGAAGAAAGTGTTAAATGAGTGGAATTATACTATAATCATTCTTCTGGACTGTATAAATGCCAAAGGTGAAACATACAGCCCATCAGACTTTCAGCCATCTCCTATATTCTTTATCAAAGTAGCTGAGCAATGGACTTTGATAACAGCTAAACTCCAATTTGTATTAAAATATTTCATCTCTATGTCATAAATTACAAGACCACATAATGTCATGAAATATGAAGTAATTATGACAGCATGTATCTTGATGCCTGCTTATGATAATAAGCATAGCAGAATTTATATTTTAAAAAGTGTGCACGTGCATGCCCCTTTCCACACACAATACCAGCGCAAAACTTACCACTGAACACAGAATTTGTCTCCTGGGGAGATCATGAAGGAGAGAATGTACTACACTTGGCAGATGCTAATCACATTGCTGAATGCACACAGTTACTCTGGTGATGGGGGAAGTGGTAGGAACTAATGTAAAATAGAATATGATAAAATATTTTATGAGTAGATGCATACTTAACAATATGCCTGAACTTGCTTTCTGAGTAAGTGTTAACTATGGCTGAGTGACTTTTTAGCATATACTTGACGAGTTTTCACTCATGTTTTTGCTGCATCTGTTAGGTCATTAAGCTGAATGTGGTCAATAATTTCAAAACTGTGTGCCCAAAACTAACTCCATATTTAGTTGCCTAAATATTATAATAATTAAAATGTCCAGTTCTTACAAACTGGATTGGTTTCAAGAAGTGAAAGCTTTCTGAGCACTGATGAAGTTTGATTATTCCCAATTATCCTTTCATTTGTGATTTTTCTCTTTAATTTGGTACTATTGTTTATTTTAAAACAAACTTCAGAAAGTAACATGAATTGAGCTAGATAAAAAACAGAGTTGCTTTGGATGAAAATTTTCTTCAAAAATGTTTCCATTTCTGTTGGGGAAATGCTTTGACAAAGTTTCTTGACCAGCTATAGTTGGAGGAAGAGAGGTAATGAAAATTTTCAGGGAAAATATTTTAGATTTTTTATTGTTATTTAAAAAAATTTCTGAGAAGCTATTATCAATATAAATTAGCAAGGATATTGATTGCTGGGATAGTCAGAGGATAAATGTAATTCTAAATGCAGGATAATCTGAATGCAAAGGTCTCAGACTCTCACTAGAACATAAGCTGGACCACAATAGCTGAATAACTGAGAAAATGACTGAGACTAGATGACTGAGAAAATAATAGGCATGATTCAAGTATCACTAAAATTTACTCTTATCTGATAAAATCTTGATGATCATAGAGATTTTTACTGATATGAACACTCTGTTGGCAGTCTGCTTAGAGAGTGGCTTCAAAAATCTTTGAAGTCAATTAAATAATTCCCATGGTCTTCGATGTGTTTGAATCCTATCAGCAAATATGTGCTTCAAAATTGTTTAAAATCACTCCTCTTTTCATGTCCGACTAATGGTCAGGCTTTCCCAGATTTTTTACACTGGTCTGAAAAAAAGGGCACACACATCCAGAAAAAGTCCATAATATTTGTGCTTCTTTGATACCCCAGTATCTGAAGTTTCAGAAGGAAGATTAAATCTCCTAGAAGTTTTTGGTAAGAAAACGTCAAAAGGCATAAATGTTTCACATAGGGAACTCATATTTATCAAACTGCTCTAGGCATGGATTTTAAATAAGCAGGTTTCAGCTCTGAATAGCACCACTGAGTACACTCCATGGAGACAATTGGCAGACCAAACAAAGAACATTATCAAACACATGTGAAATGGTAATTATGCAACTGTCATTAGTCAGATCAGCAGCTGTTAGAAGAAAATACTAAGTGACAGATGGAAACATCCTTTTTTCTTTTCCCTTCCTCCTCCTCCATTTCCCCACCCACCCACATAAGATGAGATATTTTTAAAATTGAAACTGACTGGTAATATGAAACACTAAAAATACAGATAAATCATCATTTTTCCTTAATTTGCATTTAGCAGAGCTCTGAAAATTGCTGTAAAATAGATAAATAATGAACAACATTGCCCTCCCATGGACTCTCTACTGCTATGCCAAAATAGTAAATATGCTTGAAATTACTTTGTGGGGAGAAGCACAAAACTATTGAACACAATGGAAATGCACTGTTGTTGTTGTTGTTGCACATCTTGTCTGAGTTTCTGAGAGTTCTCCTGGCCTGTAAGTGCCATCCCCTCCCCCCTCTAAGCACCAATCTAACACAATGCTGACATGTGCTTGATTATAAGCATGTGAGTTATTCCACTAACCGTATTAGAAACAATTTGGATTTCAGAGGGGGCATTTAAAGCTATGTATATGTTTCAACGGTTAGGATTAGGATCTTGCAATACTGGCCAATTTGTGTTGTCTCTATAGATGGGAGAAATGGTGCAGATAAAGAGACCGAACCTTTGCCCAAAACTTGAACCACATTCCAGGTGAACCTTTTTGGCAGCTCATTCCAGGAACATTTTTGTTAATTTTCCAGACAATGTCTGATTTCAGATGGGACTAGAAGCAGAAGTAACAAAATATTAAAAGAAAAGACATTCTCAAGGTACTCTTGACCGAGTAGAAACAAATTATCAGAAATCTTGCAAGGATGCCTAATGTAATAAAATGTGTAGTCCACTTTTATAGATGTAACAGCTTTACAGGTATTTGTTTGTTTGTTTGTTTCTTTGTTTGTGGAGAGATTTTAGAACAGGGTTTCAATGACCCTGCAAGCTAAAAGAAACAATGGTCAGACCCGTTGAGGTTATGATATATGTGCTTTCTAATCCAGAATTGCACACACGTTTTAATAATTGGGCTACATCCTGCCCTAAAACTCAAATTGTTGGAAATTCAGAGCTGGATCTAAATTTTGAAGCTTGAAGTTATCTTTGTTCCAAACCACAGAGATGGACAATCAATATTTTAAGAAAGGTTTGCCATATTTCCCTCCTTCTCCATTATCTTGAAATAACCCTAAATAACAGTGAGCGGCTTGTTATGATGTGGGATAGCTATTTTAGAGTACCTCCAGTATCCTAAAATAATTGTGCTGTGTAGATGTACTCGAAATGAATGGTGTCCTTAAAACTTCTATAAAGCGTTCTCATCTTCCTCAATGTCATTTTGTTGCAGATCAGATACCAAGTTACCAAAAAAATCTTACTTAGAGTGTACTTAATTTTGGAATAAGTCCCATTGAAAACAAGTATAAGATGGGGTTGTGATGGGGTATGGTTACAGATGACCCCTTGGGGGGTGCCTCCCAGGGTGCTGACACGGCCACTGCCACTCGTCTTCCCATTATCTGGGGCTCCTCACCACCCGATCCTGCTGGGCCAGCTCCACTGGTCTCCCCCAGCCAAGGCCCCAAGCTGAGGTCCCTGCCCCCACTGAGAAGCAGTACAGACACTAAACCTCTTCAGGTCCAAGGAGAATGAAGTTTAGAGCCCAGCATCCTGAGAGAGCACTCCCCAGATGGGATCAGACCGCAAAGAATTAGGTAAGCCACCTTTTAACGATGAAAGGGGGAATGTGCACACTGGTTGCCCCCCCAGGTAACAATCGCTTATCCTGGGTTTGATAAAAAATAAAAATGGTTTTATTAAGCTGAAGCAGTAGGATTTAAGTAGTAATAAGTGAAAACAGGCAGAGCAAAGTAGGTTACTAATCAAAAGAAACAAAACCGCTTGGCTAATTCTCCACTGAAACCTCAGTGCAAACTTAAACTCACCCTAAAACCTCTTTTCCAGCTGCCACTCTAAACCAGGGCTCTCTTCCCCACTCTGGGGTCTCAGGCTCCTTCCTTCAGATGCAGCCCAACCAAAAGACCTAGGCCCCTCCTTTACTATTCTTTTTATTAAGGAGTTGAGGGCACTCCCTACCA